GTTCAGGATGTAGCAAGCAATATCCCTCTCTACTTATAAAGCATTTTAAGATAATTTTGTTTACTCGTCCTGTATCCTTGAGGACAAGTTTGGCTTTAGGAGCTGCACTTTCTCCTGGAGGACACAGAGGCAAAAAGATTAGCTCAGAATGTCAATGGCAGCAACAGGATTGGAATCCAGAACATTTGTCATCTGCAGTAGCTGAACGCTACAGCCCTTACTCAAGCAGAATGTCTACTGACAATCAGAATAATTGACTGCACTAAAAACTCTGTCAAATCAGGCTCATAAATTGTTGTAATAGAATAATATAAGTTGGCCACACTAAAAAGCAAATATTAATCTTATGATTTGTATTTAAGAATAAGCTGAAAATCTCAATTATTTATGGGCATTATTAAGGACTAGTTCTTCAACTTAGATTTCTAGTGGGAATAGAGCCAAACTCTATGTATAAGCAAAAGAAAATTGTATCAAATATAGGTTTTGAGGTACAAAAATAGGGAGATACTAACAAGAGATCTTGGGAAATTACAAGAATTTTATTCAAATGGGAAAGTTAAAGTCTGCTTTAGTAACTGACCAGGAAGCTCTTTCCCAAGCTGCCAATTTTATGCTGAACTCAATGAGAGTTTGGCATTTCATGTTTTGTTTTCAGAACTGCTTTATATAAAAACCCAAATTAGACAAACAACAACAGACCAGTTATCTGCACACTATCATCGGTGGGAATTTTGTTTAAATGTAATTTTCTGCCTATTCTTCTGTCAAATAGATGAAAAGCATGAAGACAATGTCAAACATTGTACAAAAATCATTTGCTAAAGGTTATGAAGTAGCTACAAGAATCTAAATAATAACATTTTCCTATAACATGATTATCTTTCAAAGTTACTTTTGTACCATTCTTCCTCAGTTCTGTATAAAGGGATAAAGAATATAGTGTCCACCACTCTGGTGCTCCAACTGTCATTTTTGCCTTGAAATATCATAAACTGTGCCATAATATAGAGGCATTTAATTAGAGTCATTTAACACATTGTAGCTCACCAATGATTTTTGCATTCAGCATCTTTCAAACAGCTGAGCTTTAAAAATGTGAAGATTTGTTCACCACTAGATTATCCATGGGCCACTGCAGCTGCTCAGCCCTCTGAATATGGTTTGCATATGTAGCTTAATGACTCCTCAGAAGCAAGATAGAGTCACAGAAACAGCAGCAAAGAAAAATCCCCAGCCATGAAAGGGGGACCCCGAATGCACCCTGGGCGAAAGACCTCAGAACAAGCCTGAAGGAAAGCAGGCAGTGGGCCAAACGCAGAGTGGGCCCGAGGCCTTGGTGAATGTAGTGGGCCCTCATGTCTTAGCTTGAGTTCTTGGGGACTCTGTGTGCTGGGGAACTCAAGGAGTGTTTTTACAGAGTGATCCCCCACCAGCCTCAAGCACAGGTATGAATTGCATAGTGAGGCCCCGGGAAGGCTCAAGCTGCCCAATTCCAGCTTCTTTCCCATCTGTTCCCATGGCAATCCCCTCACCTCCCATCTGACATGGAATTCCCAGTGTCAAGGTTACTCCTGTAGCATCAATAGGACAGGGAAGACCATTGTCACCAGAAGAAAAATGTTGCCTGAGAGGGACATAAGCAGCCCCTGAATTTCCCTCTGTTTTTTTTTAGAAGGCTCAAGCTGCCCAATTCCAGCTTCTTTCCCATCTGTTCCCATGGCAATCCCCTCACCTCCCATCTGACATGGAATTCCCAGTGTTAAGGTTACTCCTGTAGCATCAATAGGACAGGGAAGACCATTGTCACCAGAAGAAAAATGTTGCCTGAGAGGGACATAAGCAGCCCCTGAATTTCCCTCCGTTTTTTTAAAACTATATTTCCACTCTTATCACAAAAACAAAACAAGTCTTCTTGATAATTTGGATGGCAGGTAAGAAAAAACAATTTAGAAATATTTAAAAACAGAAAAAAGAAGATATGAGAAATCCCATTAATTTCACAACCCAGATATAAGCATTGTTAGCCCCATGACCAATGTCCTCTCAGTCCTTATTCTTTGTAAGAACAACCTTCTACACATACTTTATATCTATTATTATTTCTTTAGGATACGACCCTATATGGAATTTCACTGCCTCAGATGCTATACATGTTTTAAATCTTTTAAATAAATATTACAAAATTATCATCCAGAAAACTTTTATGTTTGCAATGGAAGAAAACAAGAGTGACCATTTCCTAACACATTTGCTTAAAGGGAATATTATATTTAACTTGCTAATTCAAAAGATGGAAGTCATTTCATCGTTGTTTAAATTCACATTACTTTAACATCCCCCTTGAATTTTCACCTCCACTTTCTATTCCTCGGGGGTTGGTCCTCAGGAAGACTCACTGAACATCCCCCTTTCTCTCAGGCTCACCTTTTCAGAAAGAATGTTACTGCATAATGAAGTTGAATAAGAAGAAATAAGTATAGAAAAATAAAATAGCATAAAAGTACATATATGTATGAAGACTAAGTTGAGGATCTTAAAAACACTAAAGATCAGAAAAGAACTTTTCAAAAATCTGCATCCATCTTGCCTTGATTGTTTCCTTGAAAGAAAATATAATTGCTCAAAGTGAATTCATGTTGCTGGTCCACATATTCCAAGCTCTTAGAAGTCTGCCCTCTCAATTATGATGGTTCTCTATTTCTGGGTCAAAATGTTGAAAAATTGTTCTTAATACAAATTCTTAAATGTGGGTCTTGATAGTTACACACATTAGTAGAACTTTTAAATTATACATTGTTCCATATTTATCAAATTGGCTCTGTTTAAGAAGAATCAGTTTACAAGAAATTTTGAAGAAATCCAGTCCTGTGTATAGTGAAATCCCAGAAGGAATTGTCTTGAAGGAAAAGGCCAGAGTCAATATCAGAGAGCTATACTTGTAAGGCACATTTTTCATGGTCAAAATAAACCTGATCTTGCATAGGGTTTGGGAAGGATGGAGTCCAGGGATTGGTGGACTTTCACTAGTGGTAGTGTTTAGGGATTGATTGACCTCTGTGTGGAAGCAAGGCTACTGGAATGAGAATCTTGCTGACGGATTGACTTTCAGATACATAGGGCTGTCACTGACTGGTTGAGTTTCAGATGTGTGGGCTGTCACTAATTGGCTGACTTTCAAAAGCAAGTCTAAGAAAGGAGTTGTCATTGATCAAGTGAGTTCTGGTGAGTGAGTGTTCATGGCTTCCAACAGCTGCCAAAGACAATCAGTCTTTTTCTTTCTTGAATTTGAAGGACAGGAACATTTTATTCTCACTAGGTTGTCTTACCTTTAAGATTTAATCCCTTTTCACTAATAATATGCAGTTTAATAAAAATGGACAAACTAGAGACTCAACTGAATGACCAGAGTCCTTAAGTTCTGGTATTTGAGTTTCAACTACTTGTAGAGCATTAACCTTCAGATTAATGTCTAAGAGTAGTATCAAAGAGTAATAAAATTAGATAGTTCTTTGGACTTACACTGAGTGGCCAGATTATTATGACCACCTGACGTTTGTAGGCAAATTAGCTACAATTTCACGCTGAAGTTGCTAGAGGGCTAGACCATTATAAATAGGAAAGCAGGTTGTTTACCACGACAGTAGAAGTGATTTTTTCTGAAGATATGGGTAAACAACGCGATTTAACAGCCTTTGAACGTGGGATATATTTGAACGTGAGTGGCCAGATTATTATGACCCCTGACGTTTGAAGGCAAATTAGCTGTACACTGAATCATATGGGATACGGAAGCCGAAGGCCTGTTTGAACACCTTTGCTATCTGCAGTTACCAAGATAAAACATCTCCAATTAGCACAGGAACACAAGGATCAGACAGTCAAGCATTGGATAAAAGTCATGTGGTCCGATGAATCACGTTGCCAGTTGCATCATGCAGATGGCAGAGTGAGGATTTGGCAGAAACAGCATGAAAGCATGCACCCCACATGCATGAGCACAACCCTTCAAGCTGGTGGGGGCAGTGCATGGAAGACCTGGCCAGCTTGGAATGGAAGGGTTGGCCTGGCTTGGATTTTCTTTAATAATTATGGCTAGCTTGCTCCTAACGTTCTTCATTTCAGCACGGAGGAAACTATATGTAATCAATTAAGATCACAGCCTCGGAATTAGAGAGACCTGGTTCAGACCCCACGTCCCCCACTTGTCTTAGTGCAGAGGTTCTCGATCTTGACTGTATGTTAGAATCACGCAGGGAGCTCTCAAACTCTGCACGCCCAGGCTGCATCCTAGAGCAAGTGGTTATAATCGCTGGGAGTAGAGCACAGATGTGGGTATTTTTTGAAAGTATCCCCCTGCCCCAGGAACGAATAGCCGTATTGGCTATGGTCTCAGGTGAGACCATGGAGAAGTTGACTAGCTCAGTAGCTGTGCTTCCTCATCTGTAAAGTGAGGAAATATTATCCAAAATATAAATACATATATATATCCCCCACATTCAAAGGCTGTTAAATCGCGTTGTTTACCCATATCTTCAGAAAAAAATCACTTCTACTGTCGTGGTAAACAACCTGCTTCCCTATTTACAATGGTCTGGCCCTCTAGCAATTTCAGCACGAAATTATAGCTAATTTGCCTACAAACGTCAGGTGGTCATAATAATCTGGCCACTCAGTGTATATGTTGACCTTTATTTTCTTACAGGGGAGAGAAACTGAAGCCCAGAGAGGCATCATCACATTTCTAAAAGATGCATCTTTCCCTGGTTTCCTACCCACCTCTTGGCAATGTATATTGGTTACGCACCAGTATCATCTGATGAGAATCTGGCCAATAAGCATGAAAAAAACTATAGTAATAATTTATTTATTCAAAGTAGTTTTATACATATTACCTAATGCAATATAAGCTAAATAGAAAATGCACTATCAACATAATATTACATACACCTTGATCTTCTATGCACAGAATTTTTCCTGTTTTGTTCTTATTTTCTAAGAGAATGGAGAAGTATAGAAGAGAAGAAGAAAGGAATTTGGACAGAAATTTGGAGGAAGAAGATGAGGCCAAGGAAAGAAGAACTGGAATGAGAGAGAAAAAGGAGAATGTGCAGATGCAAGCAGCCCAAATAGTCCATAAAAGTAAAATATTGATATGATTCATAAAACCATTTGTTTAATTTTCAGGGGAATACAGGTCAATTGGTGGTAAAGGCAATGGGGTTTGGCATGGGGATAACCTAAATAAAAGTTGATGTTTTTACCACTTCATCCGAGGAGGCTCCTGTTATGCTCCTGCAGTGAGCAACAAAGAAAACAATAGACAAACTTAGTGGTAGTTTCCCATTAAAAATACAGCTCACATCTCCTCCTTACTCTGCATTCTTATCATTATCTCTCTCCTAGTCCATGTCAATAGCCTCTGCAATGGTCTCCATTTTTTTCACTCCTGCCATCTTCCACATAGCAACAGTTATCTTTTTCAAAAGACACATCTGATTAACTCACTCTGCTCGAAGGGTTCCCATTACTCTTGGTATAAAATCCAAAATCTTTAAAATGCCTAATAAGTAAGTTGGATATATAATTTATCATCCAAATGGAAGCGCTTTGAGAAAACTGGATTTTATTGATGCCAACAGGCAAACACTAGGACTGTCTGGAGCAAACGGGCATTTGGTCACCCTCCCTCTGGGACTTTCTTTGTCTTATCTTTCTACTTTTGCTTTTTCTTCTCCCCCTCACTCACCATGCTCCAACAACATTGGCCTTCTTTCTGCTCCTCAAACACACAGTTCTTTCTCACTGAAAAGTGTCAGCATATTTTGTTCTCTCTGCCTAGGACACTCATGTTCCTACTGGCCAACATCTACATGTCCTTCAGGTCACAGTTCTTAATCCACAGAACAAACTTCCTTGACTGCCCAATTTAAATTTAAATAGGTGCCCTGTAATAAAGCAGAGCCCTGAGCTGATCCCTTTATTTTTTCTTCACATTAGTTTCACAATTAGTAATTTTGTATTCATTTTTGTTGTTTGTTTAATGTCCATCTTCCTCTTTAGATTGTGTGTTCCCAAAGGCACTTACTATAACTCTGTATTCAAACTTTTAGCAGTGTGCAAGTTACCTAGCAAGCACTGAAGACATAAGAAATATTTGTTAAATGATTTATTAAATAAATATATGGATGGGTGATTAAGAAGGTGCTTATAGGGTGAGGCCAACACAAATACTTTAAATTAGACTTCTGCTAACTTATTAAAAGACTTTGCCAAATAATATGTATTAGTCAGCTTATGCTCAGTTATACTACAGTAACAAACATCCTCAGACTCTCACCAGCTGATGAGAATAAAGGTTTATTTTGTGCTCGCATTTCATGTCCATTCCAAGTCAGCAGAATATCTTCTTCATCTGGGACCCAGGCTGTTGTAACAGTCCTTATTCCAACAATACTTGTCTCAGAGGGAAATGAGAGTGTGGCAGAGCCATGAGAAGGCATTTAAAGCTTCTGCTCAGAAGGAGCACACTTTACTTCTGCTTCCGGTCAAAGCAAGGAAGATGATATCAATGGAGCAGAGATCTTGAATTCTTTCATAGGGAGACATCCATAGAAAAGGGATGTATAGGGAGAGAAATCACTGTTTTGAAATATGTTATCTATCACATAATGTATAGGTGCTTAGTACTTTTGGTAGATAAACTAAAGACAATATTTTTACTTGCATGTTTTGTTAAGGTCTGATAGAGTAACAGAAGATGTGATGCCTTTAATTTTGCTCTTGGGGAAACCAGGACCCTGCAGGCTGAGGCAGCACCCATGCTGAGAGAGTGAGCACCCTTACTTGTCTGCCATCATGTTGCCCCTCCATGGGGTTTTATTTCCTTTCACCCATGCCCAGCCCTTTGATTCGCATTCTGATGCTTTATGACATACTCTGATGTCTTTTTCACTTGCAGGAGTTCTCACAATATAAAGTTAGGCTTTTCTATGGAGGAGAGAAATAGATGCGAATGGAAAGAAAACCCAGCCTCTGTTTCTAGGAGAGGAGGTCTGTAGTTAATAACTTCCACAGACCATTACTATCTAATTTCTTAGAAGAAAATTAACATGTTCAACTAGATGGGTTTCAGTCACTCTCCTGACTCCTAATTCTGCTGAAACAAAACTCTAATAAGTCAGGCCTCCTGGGTAAACCTCATCCTCTCCTCATGTGTGAGTGAAATGGACGAAAATCCTGAAGAATTAAGAAGCAGACGAGGACACAGATCTTAACCAATAATTCAATTAACATCTGCTTTGTCAGAAGGGTATCTAACATTTTTAGATATAATCTGATCATCTCTCTAGAAATGGAATGATATTTAGGGTGGGGGGGGGGAAGTTTGTGACTAAAAATGGAATGGAATGTGGCTGGGACAAAGCTTGGGACAGAAGCAGGGGCCTCTTTTAAAACGTGTATGGGCAGCAAATGTGCAAAATAAGGATTTTTTTTTCCCTTCTGGCACAAGTAAGGCTTTGATCCTTTAACCTTCATACATATTTAACAACAGTTGACTTCAATTGCTTCCAAATACCTTCAACCCCATTTAACTTACCTCTATTTTTCCAAAAACATAAAGTCAGAGTTAAAACTAGAAGAACATAAGTGAGAGCAAAATAGGCTGAAAAGGCAGTAATCGTGTAATAGCAATTCAACAAGCAGTGCAGGTCCACCGCTATGATCACCCAGGGAAATCTGGGAGGAGAGGAATGCCTATCAATCTCCTGGCTGTGCCGATGCTATGCCTTGTATGGCTTGTGAAACAGTGGACTCTTTCTGAAGCTTTAGAGAAAGATGGTCAAACATGTCTTTATTTTATTAAATTTTCTGTTCAGAGCTTTATCTGCGTGATGTCTACTATCAGAGAATTAAGTTGCATTTTCAAGGAAAACTAACAGGGGGGTGGTTATTTCTGAGACCAGTAACACCCACCAGTGAACTGTGGTGTCAGACATTGCAGAATGTCAACCGTGTAGTTCAGTTATTACCATTAGCAAGTAGCTAAGATAAACAAGAGATCAAAGCCAATATTCATCTCATCTTAAATGTCTTCATTAAGACCATTCTCTTGCTGAATCCCTTGGTACAAACTAGCTAAGTGATGAAAAATAAGAAAAAGCTAGCTAGGAGCAAGAGTCAAAACAATTGAACAAAGCAGCTACAGACGATGCTATGCTGACTCATGCTGGCTTTAAGTGGCCAGCTTTACTGTAATGTCTTCATCAGCTTTTTAGGACTCAAGTAAGTTTCATTTTTGTAAGCAACCCAGTGTCTCCAACTTCATTTGATTTCTCCCTGCTACTTGCTTGATTCTGTCGGTAAAAATTCCTTCACATATAATTGTTGAAGTTTAGAGGTGAAACTAGGTTTTTAAAGTCAATATATTTAATTGGATTTTACCACTTCATTTGCCTAAACATAGTAACAGAGTTACTTATAACTACTATGGGATATAATTCTTTCTCCCAATTGCTTTTTTCCCCCTGAAACTCCTGAATCCAGCTATCATATCTTTAGTCTTTATATAGGCTATTCTTGTTTCCACTTTTTAGAAAATGATATCAGCTTTTTGGCCAGATAACCTTAAACCACTATACCCCTTTTGTACACTCCCCAACCCCATTCACTACTATTGTGTCTAGGAAAGACACAATTACATCATTCCATTTTTCTGTGTCTCTTTGTAGTTTATATACTACTTGTATTTTAAAATCTGAGTCCATGATATGTCTCTCTGTCACCAAGGAGGTATTATCCTATAGTGGTTTATAGCAAGAGCTGGCTTTTTTTTTTTTTCCTGTAACGGGCCAGATTGTAAATATTTTAGGCAGTGCAGGCCATATGGGTAACTTCTCAACTCTGCCATTGTAATATGAAAACAGTCATAGATATGTAATCAAATGTGCATATCTGTGTTCCAATAAAACTTTATTTACAAAAGCAGGAAGCTGACAAGATTTGGGCTATGGTGACCCTTGGTGCAGAGCATCAACTTTGGAGCCATACTTCCTCACTTACTGGCTCTGTTCCCTTGGCAAGTCACCAACCCCCTGTGCCTTAGTCCTCTCATCTTCATGGGAACAATAACAACAGTTGTTCAGTTTTGTGAGAGACCTGGGCAGATGACCCTGTTAATCTGTGCCCAGATTCCTGACCCACAGAAACTGCAGGATAATAACATGTATGTTATTTTTAAGCTGTTAAATTTGTGGTAATATTGTTATGCAGAAATATTTAACACAATATTAAAGCAATATTGGATTATAACAGCAATTATTGAAGATAATTATAATGGTTTCTTATTATTGATTGGTTTGTGAATCATCAAAAATATTTATGAATTGATTTTTTAATGGCATCGTGCTAGTCAATTTGTTTCTCTGCCAACAATATGGTAATTAATAATCTACAAAAGCACTTGCATAATCCAGCCTTTTTGTAAATTCAGTTCTCAAGTAGAATTCTAAATCTAGAGACAGTACTAGAGAATGAACAAATTCAAAAAGCGTTTGAAAGAAAAAAACACAACTAAGAAAAACTGAAGATTGAAATATCCCAACTGCTCTGTGATTGGTTGGTTTATGACACAGAAGCAAGAGTTAGTCTCGGTTTGAAAAGTGGACAAATGGTAGCTGGGCTTGTTGGGATTCCATACTATTCCTCCAATTTCATTTAAACATGACCTCATACGGAGCTGTGGTCAGTGATTGGTTTGGCAGGGAACATCTAGAATAATAATAACCTTCAGAATTAGTATCCTTGGCCTGACAGCTTTCTATATTGTGCAGTGCTTACCCACTGAGGAAAATAGAGCCTAGGTAACTAAGCCACGATAAGCCATATTTTATTTTTCCTGTAAATGAAAATGGGCATGTGTAATCATGATTTGAATGGACCAACTCACATTCTCCTACACCAGGGAGTGTAAATGTGCCTTGCTAGTCCAGAGACAGACCTATCACAATCAGATTTCCCATACTTGCCACTGCTT